ATTTAAATTAAATTAAATTAAATTAGTTTTAATCTAGATTTTCTCTAAAAATAATGAAAAGTGAAAACGAATCTTAATTTGCGCCCTTCTTGAGCGCTGATGCACAAAGGCTGTGCGTGCCAATTTCGCATTAGCTTTCAATTAATTAAGTCGGTGCGATGTGCTGAATGTTGAAATCATTGCGCGGCATGCAACAAAGTATTGCATTTTCAAAACAGCATCTGCAGCAATGCAAGTCGAATGCACACAAAAAAAAAGAATTCAACCTATAAAAATAAAATTAAGTTCAAACATCTTTATACATTTTAGTATTTATGTAGAGAAGTGCAATTATTTACAAACCAAGTCAAGTAATAAAAAATTAAATAAAAATTGCAAAATCAAATCTAATGAGTTTTATTTTAATTTTGCATAAATAATTCGTGTTTTCAATTAACAAATTCAGTTAAATGTGTTAAAAGCAAAATAAATGAATACAAAATAACATTCGAAAGAAACGTTAGCTAACAAAGTAAAATCTCCAAAGCGCTACCATGAAAGGCTTAACAAAGGAACTATTAAAAAATTCCCCAGGGTAATTGTTAACATAAATTCATAAATAAATCTAAAACAACGAACGATGAACAGAATTTTAGAATAAAATCTCAACTGGGTTGAGCTAAACTGAACTTAAGAAGCTAGAGAGCTGCACGAATCAAATAGCGCAATTGACGTCCTTTCAGCCCAATACGATTTTCGCGTTGCCGTTTTCAATTTATTCTGTGCAAATGCAGTGCGGAATCTTGTTGTGGATTATAATAAATTTTCTCACCTGTCAATTACGCGACCATTGTAAATCATTCACACCGGATAAGGATCACAAAGAAATGATTACACCTTCCTGCCACTACTGACACATTAAGAGAAGGACAGCTAAGGATGGCAGAAATAAATTAAGGAAGCGAACAAAATGAATGAAAAGATAAAATTTATGCGATGATTGCATCATTAATGCCTGGAATAATGCATAGTCTCAGTCGCATTGGCCGCAGATATTCGATTATGATAATGAACACAAATATATGGAATTAAGTAACTTATTATGCGGAATAGCTTATTACGAAAGTATATAGAGGCAAAGGTGTTAACACTACTATATTGCAATAAAAAAGGAATTCTTTAAACATTCTGAGATTTCGCACACGCCTCGAATTTTTTTTACAATTTTCATGCTTAAACATAATGAGAAGTTCAAGAAAAAAGGTTATATGCATTCAGTTTTCTGCAACATCACTGCTTAAACTTTTTATGACTTCAAAATGAATGATAAACGCACTAAAAAGATAATAAAAAGTGTTTTTGGTATTCATATTAACACCTTTTTAAGTGTAGATAAATTGCTGTTAATAACACCTAAACTAATTTCAACAAACAAAGACTAAAAACAATATAAATATAAAACAATATAAGACGATATAAAAAATATCGGATAAAAAAATATTTGAAATTAGTTAATAAGATATCGTGTTAAGGATACGAAGTCAGTGTCGGTTGTTAGTAACAATGTCCAACGGCCCAGCATTTGGAAGTCAGGTTTGCTTTGCCCATTCCATAAAAAAGACGATTCTGCAAACTGTGCCAATTATCGTGGGATCGTGGGAGTCTTTTAAATATCGCACATAAGGTGCTGTCAAATGTACTATGTGGAAGATTGAATGCAATCCCCAACCAACTGATTAGATCTTATCAGTGAAGCTTCTGACCTGGCAAATCCACCATAGACCAAATATTCATAGTGCGTCAAGTCTTGGAAAAAACCTAATAAAAGCAAATCGGCACACACCACCTATTTGTTAACTATAAATGCGCTTTTGACAATACGACTAGAAGCACTCTATTTGCCGCTATGTCTAAATTTGGCAAATGAGGAGAACAACACCACTAGCTCCGAAAGAATCGTGAAGAACTTCTCCGAGTCGTTTGATAACAAACATAATTTAAGACAAGGTGACTTCTTGTCGTGTGACTTACTTACTTACTTACTATAGTCCTCTTCTGCTTATGGAGCATAAAGCCTCGAGTTTAACCTAATGTTGGAAACGATAATCCGAGCAGTAGATTTAAACTGCTTAAGCGCAATATTGTACAAAAATGTAATACTGTTTTCGTTTACTGACAATATTGATATTATTATTCTAGTTTTAACTTAGAAAAACAAGCTAAGAACAAACAAAGTTCTTTCTGTCAACAAGCACAACGGGTGTCAAGGCCCACAGCTTCGGCTGCTCTGACCATTCAGATTGGCTCCTTAAAGGGAGTGTCGTGGTGGTTGTGGTGAAAACCCAAATATATGCAAGTAGAATGATTGTATTAGTTTGCAAACATTTCATGTGGAATTGCATTCTCCTACCAGATGTTGTGACCCAGACATAGGCAGAGGTGTTAGATAGACCTCGCTCTTCGCCAAGGAGAAGTTATGCACAAACACATAACTTCAACTGGTACCGGCAGAATTCCTTAGAGCTCATCGGCGCAATATACCGATGTCTCTGTGAAGAACACCGTGGTGTTCAGCCTTCACGGCAGGTATCCACGTGAAATTTTGGACCTTCATGTCAGCAAACAAATCTTCTGAGTATCTTGACACCTTACTAAATAAATAAGTTAGCTCATAGCGGTCCGCTGGTGGTGGATCTAATGTATTTTGGAACTTAGCAGCATACTTAATAGAAACCTATTTTTTGACTTGGATTTGTTAACTTTTATTTATGTCACTTTAGGTTGTCACCGATCGCACGAACCCTTAACAATACTACTGCTTGCAATCTTAGGTTCAAAGCTATGATTATTGAAGCAGATATTTTATTGAATAAGCGTATAAAAGTATCTGCTATTGAATAAGGGATTAACTGTTTACGAACTCGTATTTACTTTAACTAAGTGTACCAAAAATAAATTCTAAAATTATTTGTTAAATTAGTTTTTTCTTAAAACCAATTTTTTATTAAAGCAAAGTTTAATAAAAAAATGCATATACGTAGAGAACAAAAAAATTATTATGTAATTATCAGAAGTAATGAACGGTATCAATTTCCTTTAACTGCAGCAATAATTCTGGTGATCTCTGTGCAGATAGAGTATCTTCTGATAATTATGTAAAATTTATCTTTGAATAAAAATATGCTTTGGCTTATACAGAATTATATAATTTATTTTGTTTTTTGTTTTTGTTTCTTTCTGTTTTTTTTTGATTCCATTTTTTGTTCTATTTTGACTTTTAACCCCGCAAACGTTAATTTTTCCAACTGCGGCAAAAAAAGAAAAATTTGATTGACTTTGCCGAAGTCGTCAGCGACAACTAAAAAGTATTTTTAAAATTATTTTTAATCAAATATTAAATAGAAATGAAAAGAAATGGGAAACCTTGGTGCTGTTTTCACGGAAAGGAATTCTCGGAACACAGCGGGACAACACAAAAGCGTCAGCAGATCAAAAGCATTATTGACTGCAATAGGACCGAAGCTCAGTAGAAAGATAAATTATTGTGTTAAGATTTTTACAGTATTTCTACAATTTTAATAATTTTCTTCAATTGATATCATTTCTTTTCGATGCTTCTTGACTTCTAAGTTCGAAAAAGCAGAATCTTTTCACAATTTGATTTTTCGTTAGCAATTTAAAGTTACAAGACGGATCAAAGGTTGTTGACGTGACCATAAATTGCACATGGTATGGAATACGAGTTGCGTCGGTGGTGGAATGATGCAATACCGATAGACATGTTGGCTATGTGTTCGGCTACATATGCCTAACGAGAACGCAAATTTGTGCGGAATTGATGGAATGCTGGCACTTAACATGTGGACAGCATTCAATCTCGCATAAAGTTTCGCTTTAATAGCAAAGCTAAGTACATTGCTATACTTCAGTAGACTTAGTGACTAGACTGGCATTTTAGATGATACTACGTAACAACGGTAATGCAGATGCCAGAGCAGATGCAATAGAGGAAAGATGGACTGGTAAACATGGATGAACATGGATGAGCTGTGGAGCTGTTGAGCTGTAATGGCAAACGTAGTCATATATCGCTTACACTGCTAGAAGTCACGAATAAAGTGTAACAAATCATTCGCTGAGGGCAGGAAAATTTTTGCATTTTTTTTATTCAATTTTATTTTCTCTAGAACACCGCAACTTGCACTACTACAGCATATTGCACGCTACATTAAGTGTTGAGGTATTCTAATTTTGTTGCTGATGAAATGACTAATTACTGTACGAATACCAAATCCTATCATTAGTGGTGGAAATAACTGAAGAAAAGATGGCCAATATTTTGTAATTAGTGTGCAATTTCTTAATTTGAAATGCAAGCACAAAATAGCTAAATTTGTTGCTATTTGTAGTAACAGAATTTGAATTTGTTATTACTTTTGTGGCACCTATAAGCTCTTTTGCTGTAGTAATGCCCTCTTACAAACACCTTTTTCTGTTTACGTACAACATATTCATAAAATCGGAGCATTACAACTGCCAGCAAATGGCAATGCGGCACTTACCCGGTATGGCAACTGACACCACCGACACCACTGAAAAGTGCAACATAAAACAGTTGCAAACATTTCATTGTTTTTCGTTAGTGCTGCTGGCATTCACGTTCAGCTCGTTGCTGTTATTCCTAGTGCTGTTGCCATTGTGCTTCTTGGCAACAGGAATGGCAACAACCACAGCACTGCACTGCAGCATCAGTTTTATCCGCTACCTTCAGGTCAATCCAATTAGATACGATGCAGAACGTTTTTTTTTTACTACCGCGTATCCAATTAAGTGCACAATCAGCTAAATTTTTCTTCTTCTCCAGCCATTTTTCTTTATTTTCGAGCATATAAAATTTATTTTGGTATTTTTTTATTTATTATTTTTACGATATAGGTTTTCCTTAATACTTTTTTTGTTTGTTCGTATTTTATTTTTCTATTGTGTATGTTACGAGCTGTATTATTTTTGCCTATTTCTAGCCGATTTAGGCAATGACACAAGAGATCACCTCAACATAAGTGGTACCAACTTAAACTACAACAAGCGGGCAACAACTATCAGAACAGCAGTTCCAAATGCAAGTGACTTATTCCTTTGGCGTACTGGAATGATTAATGGCCAACAAGGGCCAATGGCAACAACAGCAACAGCAAGAGCAACGGCTATGGCAACAGCGCCATTAAGACCCACCAATGTAAAATATTTGGATTTCCGTGTTGATTTTCACACCTGATCGTTTTTCTTTAATTTTCTTTTTATTTTCGATTTTGGTATTTATTATTGTTTTCCCTGGTTTTTACTGCTATTTGCGCTTTTCGGTGTACATTTACGGATTTTGTTACTTTAACTGCACTGCAAATTGAAATTTATTAAGGAGCAGTTAAAAATCTCCGCGATTGCAAATTTGGTAAATTGTTTCCTCGGGCAAAAACCCAAAATGAAGCATTTCATTACATTTTTTGTTATTTTTTGTTTATATTATTAGCTTTAATAATTTTTTGTAGTCATAAAAAAAAAGATACAAGCTACAATATATAAGGAAATAATATTTTAAAATATATCAAAACCAACAAACTAAGTCGCTTAACATGCATATGTTGGCTAAATTTTATGGTCCATACAGTATAGGATACTATTTAGGTTAATAATCTTAACTCTAAATTTTGTTTTTAAATGTAAACAAAATCTTACTATATATACGAGATGAACTTATTTTCAAGTCATGAAAGCAGTTAAAGGTGATACGAAAGACAATTTCTAGAAGGCAATAAAGCAAATTTAATTGCATTAAATACATTGCAAAATTTATAATTATAATTTTGTTTATAACTTGGCCATTAAAACAGTGAATTATTAAAATCTATAATTAAATTTCTTTCCTAGCATTAGACATAGGTTATATAGTACATGAATTGAAGTCGTTTGTTGTGATGCCATCTATTGATAACAATATGCGTCGGTTAAAGACAAAAAACAAAATTATTTAATATGGCATTATTTATCGTCTGAGACGAAACTACGGTACTCCTAACATATGGGTCGGTTTAGTTATTTGGAATGCTTCGTAAAAGGATTACTTAAAAATAAGTATTTGCTTTAAGGTCGTCTAATACAATAAAAATGCGTATATATACATGAAAGTCGTATATTTAGGCAAGGTGAAACTTTCCCCATGATAAGGGGAAAGGCCTATTTATTGAACTTCCTGGTTGTTATTTAGCGCATAACCATTCTATACAAATGTTAACATTCTATCTCCCTGACGTTTGAGGGAGATTACTCTGCGTAATAAGAGTTTTCACTAATTTATTCTATTTCATGATATGTAGACGAAGATTTTTTACTAATATATTACATATATTTTAAGGCATTTAAATAAATAGAAACAAAATTATTTGAAATTGGTTTCATTAGTACATCCCATGAAATACAAATAATCCTGTCAACCTTTGTTAAAAAACATTCGTTCTGTGAATAAATAGGACTACTCCTATTCGAAGTCAAGACAAAATATTCCAATTGTAATTAGACAATTTAAAACAATAAACTTACATATAATGTAACAAGTAAACTATATGCGATAGACATATGCGCCAGCTTCAACCTCGGTCGGAACTAATGCAACCGCAACCGTAAAATTGCAATACTGACTAACAACAAAGCAGCTATAATGACACTCATAACCAGGTGACATCCAAACTGCTGTGGTAGTGCATTGACAAGCTGAACATGCTGGAACAATCTCGAGCACTTATTACAGATTCCAGGACATGTTGAAATGGTAGACAAACTCACAAGAAGAGGCGCGACTTTCATAATGATAGACCCAGAACCTTTCTGCGTTTTAGGAATAGGAACTATATTTCTTCTTATGAACGGTGCAAAGGAAAAGAAAAGAAATCGATATTGGGTAGTGTTACCAAAATAGACCTAGAACCTTTCTGCGTTTTAGGAAACGGAACTATATTTCTTCTTATGAACGGCGCAGAGGAAAAGGAAAAAAATCGATTTTGAGTAGTGTTACCAAGTTAGACCCAGAACCTTTCTGTGTTTTAGGAAAAG